AAGCGTTTATGCTAAATACATGTTCTCCTGCTCTTATTTCCCTCGAAACTCATAAACAACGTGAATTATAACAAACTTACTAGGTCAGGCAAATGTGAGCCTATCGAAACAAGAAGCCCTGCAGCAGCTTTTTGCCACTCAGTATTAAGTTCCTACATCATCGACAATAAAAATAAGAACTAGCAACAAAAGAAGGCATTCTAGAACATTGAGCAAATTAACATCGGTACCAATAATTCTGGAGATTTGAATTCTTGTGGGAAGAGAAAGAAATAACCATGGTAAAGGAGGAAATAGTAACTCCAATAATAATAATGGGCCCAATGCCAATTATATGGAGAATTGGACATACTGTACTGAAATGTTATTTTAGATTTGATCCCACATTTCACAGAGTTAACTCTAATTTCACTTTTCCCTCTAATCCCATAGAATTCAGATATGACAGCTATGATGGTTTCACCTAACCTTAATGTTCATACTAATTGGTATCTTGATTTCGTAGCAACAAACTATGTGACAAATGATCTTTTGGATCACGCTGTCTGTTCTCCTTGTCGATCAGATAATCAAGTACATGTGAACAATGGAGCAGGTTTGTCCACTGCTAATATTGGATCTTCTCATTTTTTATCACCTATAATCATTCCTTTATTATCAAAAATCTACTCCATGTTTCTCAAATAACCGAAAGTTTGATTAGTGTTAGTCAATATATATATATAAAAAAATATATATATAAGATAGAACAAAGCGCTACGAAGGAAAAAATGGAAGTATCATAAACTATGAGATGACGTGCCAACCTTGCAATTGCAAAGTTAGAGTAGTCATACCTCCTAAATCAAAGTACTAGTCCCCGAATTGAAGCTTCTATTTCAGAAATTAATATATTTACAAGCCAAATAAAATATCATTTTCTTTTTTGGAAATAACTCATGGCTTGAAATTTCTAACGATCCTTAATGTAACAACCAAAAAAATAGAAATAAAAAAAGAAACCGAACAAGAAGTGTAGTATGAAAAAGACCTTGGAAGAGATTATCTCAGTCGTTGAAATCTTTGCAAGCTTAGACATGAAAGCTGGATCAACATCTTCTTTGTCTAAGGCTCGCACTCCGAATGACATTACTAGAAAAGCCCCAGCCATGTTTCCGAAACGCTGAAAATGACCACCAACTTTTTAAACGCATTTTCGATAAAGAAAAACGAAACAAAACTATGAACTGCAGTCATGATTCCTATGAAGCATGACGAAGAAGTAAATACTGTAATTACCCGGCGTCCTCCTCGTGAAACAGCATAGCAGCAGTCGAGAACCAAAAGAGGACTCCTGATATTGCAACAGAAGTTCCAATTCACAACTCACTATAAATGAAAGCAGACTCGAATAGCTAAAGACAACAAGTGAGAAAGAATACAATGCAGCTATGTCCTTGAGCGAAGCCATGGATGCCTCCCTCACCACGGACGATTCATCAGCAAGAGATGAGACTAAAATCTGAACAGCCTCTGCAGAATTAGTGAACACGCACACACGCACACACACAAAATGATCAAAAGCGAGCTTCCATAAGACATGAATGATCGTTGTATCCGTTAAAAAGTTGGAACAATAAAAAAAGATTGATTGAAATTACAACATATACAAAAGTGACGGAACCTGGTGCAGGAATTGAGTTTCCGGAGCCCGACGACGCCATGGCAGGAAAGAAACAACAGCAACAGAATAGAGAGGTTCCCACACAGCGATCCTATTGCTTGGTTAAATTTCCATGGCGAATTTGCAGGGAGAGGAAGAGATGAGCAATTCTCAAGTTTCAACGGCCGTGGATCAAAAATTCTCTCGTCGTAAATTCTTCGCGTTTTTATAAACATCAACAGAAAATTCCACTTCGATTTCTTTCTGGCATACTATGAACTAACGGTGGCATGAGGGATTTGATCTGCACAAATTACCTCTCCAAATTAACCTTACAAACGTAATAATACATGATCCAAAAAAGTAATAAAAAACCGTGGCAAAAGATATAAAATATAATTATTCAAGTCTAATAGGTTTTCTCTAATTAAAACATCTCATCCAATTAAATTTCACTTCTAAATTATCATTTTTACTCCATTTATCTCACTTAAATTATCATTTTTACTTCATTTATCTCGGTTAAATTGTCATATTCTATCTAAACTTCATTTGAACCTTCTAATAATAACTCACACGGGCCAGTTATATAAAAATTTATAAGATTCTCCAAAAATATTTGATTGATTTCATGCAAACCTGTATGTATTGTTTCAATAAATATTTAATTATGCTAAAATTGTAATGATTACATTTTCATTCGAGGGATTGAAATTAGACAATCTCTAAACAAGGTTTACATTTTATATATGGAGAGGAATTTGAATTTTAAAAAATTACCTAATATCTCTGAAAATATTCACTTCCATAAATACATAAATTATAATTGAGAAATAAATAAAGTAATAAATACATAATAGGACGGGGACCGAGACCGGGACGAGAAAGCTTTTCCATCACGAGCCATAGACATTTTACCAATTTGTCCTCGATTTTTTGAACTAAAAACAATTTTGATTATTATTAAGATATTTTGAAGAATGGTTTTAAACAAATAGCAAATTTGAATTTTTGAAACTCGATTTATAAATATAATAGAGTTTCTCATATTGTGTCGTTTATTATATAACATAAATGAAAATATAAAGATGTTCAAACATCTGTTGGTCGTCCGAAACGTAAACGACAAAGATAAAAGTCTTGACCATCAAACCAACAAGCTGGTTCAACGCACATCTACACTCATCTAAAAATTACCGGAAAAAAAATATTTTTTTTGTAATTGTTTTAATTAAATAATTTTTTATTAAAATAAATTTTGTGGGAAAAATTACCGAAATTTGTGGAAAAAGGTGGATTAATGAAATTAAATTTACGATAAAACGAGTGAATTTATGGAGGTTTTTTTTTTTTGGGTCGAAAATAGTGAATTTATTTTAATTTTAGGAATTATTGGATAAATAAATACAAGGAGAAGGTGGAAAATGGTAAAGGGACAGAATTGAGGTGAACTGATCCCATTGTCCATGTACAAATTTTGGAGGCAAAAAAACATGTCACGCCTACACGAACCCCTCGCGAATCTCACTTATTTGTATCCAACAAAAACTAGCTTTCAGAATTAGGAGAAATATTTTTTAATTATTTCTCGACCACGAGATATATCCGTTAAAATCGCCGTTGCTTTTGTTAAGTGAGCTGTCTTCACATCGGTGAGACATTTGGATAATCAGTGCAGCCATGAGGTGACGTGGCCGTATCTCAAATACTTATTACATAAGACCTTCCCACTTGGGCTGGGCCTTTTCCTGTAGTTACGTCGGGCCCAATAGTTTATCAAGCCCACTCGGTCCAACAGGTGGCAACATAAGTACTTAAACGACATACATTTTTACCTTAATAATAATAATTACGATAATTCTGTATTGTTGATTGAAAATAAAATATATAATATCTTTCTCTATTAATTATTTAAATTTAAATTTTTAGAAATTATAATCATTAGGTTGAAATCTATATTTATAGGAATTCAAATTTTTTAAAATTAATTTTTTTGAATTGAAAAAAGGAAAAAGAATAAACGATGGTCAAGGACAAAAAGTGATGCCATAATTGGCTCCGGCCGTGCACGTAAAGATACTTGTTTGATCATCGTAAGCGTAACTATAAGCCTGGGGGCATTGATCCTTGAACATCTTCGAATAATCTGTGGGCGGGCAAGTTTGTGGCTGATTGTGGTCGCCGCTGCAACAAAATTCGGGCTGATTGAAAGCCATACAAGCACTTTTACACGCGATCACTGCACCATCTTGTCCTCTGATGGCTAATTCCGGTGGACAAATTGCATTTACATTGCCTGCACAAACTACCGCTTGGCACTCACTGGTTCCGCCCATTGGCGTCACCGAAACAGGCAAGTTAAAGCCATCAACGAGGCTGATGTCGAAGTAATCTACGCCACCGGTTGGCGCTATAGTGAATTCAACAAGGCTTGCAGGCGGAATTGCGCCAGCGCCATTGCATGCCACTTGGCCGCTGCCGCAATCAGCGGTTCCGCAATTGAACTTCCCACTCGCGTCTATGGAGCAAAGGGTTCGAGCCCAAAACCTGCCGGACCACGGCGGAGATGTGGTCACCGTCGACGTTGATCCGGGGAGTAATTCGAAGCCAGTGGTGGAGAGAGGGGTGCCAATTCCGGTCAAGGCTCCCGGCCAAATTGGGAACTGACAATTATTTGTAACGGCGAAATCGACGGAGTAAACCACCCCTGCAAGATTAATATAATTATTGATTTAAAATCATGAAGAATTTGGCCTTAAATTCAGATCGAATGAACAGATAATGTACCTGAAAAAGAGAAGATTATGAATGAAAGTCTTAATAATGGAATTTGAAGCACCATGGCTGTGGACTCCCTTCGTGATTTTCTAGGTAAAGTGAACAATGGTATATATTATATGGTCCATTCATCGAATTAAAAAAGGAATTATGAGTATTTATATGGCATAGATTTTATGTACGTATTACAAAAAAAAAATATTTTGGCATGGATTATTTCATAATTTCGTAATAAATAGGGCAAGTCCAGCAATTTCCAAAAAATAATATATATATATATATAGAGAGAGAGAGAGAGAGAGAGAGGCAACAATAAATGCTAAAATCATTTTTAAATTCATATATATTTGAGAAAAGGAGAAATATATAATAAGTTTATTTTATTGCATGAAATATGACTGATTTTGCCTTTTTTTTTGTCTCCAATATATTCAATATTTTTTTAAATTAGTGAATTTATTTATGGGAGACATGAAATTAAAATTTATAATTAATAAGATTTTGAATATGTATTCAATAAATTTGTTAATTCTTAAAAAAAATTAATATGATAGATATAAAATAAAAAATAGGCATATTGTTATAAATTTATTAGAAATGTGGTAGAAATTCATGAGACATTTGACTTGCAGGGGTGCACATCATAAATTGAGGCTTTTGAAGAATGAGTCACTGTGGGGTTGTTCTACTTAAAGTTCTTGCCTTCGAAGGTCTGACCAAACTGCCAATTGGCGGGAGCAACATGCCATGCAGTGGAGAATCTGCCATCGCTGGCTCGAACCCTGAAGGTGAGCGACTCGCCAACCATCATGGCGTTGGTGGTCCATTTTTGACCCCACAGACGAGACATGGCGGTCCATTTCAGCTTACGGTGGCCCTTGACTTGGACAGCCGTTATGTCCCCAGCTCCTCCCACGTTCCACACCATTACTTCGTTGAAGTATGGGTTTCCAGTGATTGTGAAGCGAATTCCTCCTTGCTTTTGGCATGGAACCCTGCGGTAAGTGATGGGAATGACGCCGGCCTTATAGTCGGCAAGGTTGGCGAAAACAGGCTTGGCTATGTCGAAATGCTCGAGGGGGGGATTGCACCATCCGCCATTGTCATTGGCAGCGTTGTAGTTGGGTGGACAGTGGTTGGTGCCGGTTACCACGAGGGAGGGCTGCCCAGGCTTGCAATCAGGATTGTCCATGCATTTGAGTTCAAAGCAAGCGCCGCATTTCTGCCCGTTGTTAAACAGCGCCATGCTTAATGCCGCCGTCTGCAGCCCATACCCTTCCTTTTCCACGTCGCTGTACCCACATGCACGACCTACACATACACATACATATATGCAACAATTACTACCTTCATAGACTAAGACTAAGACCTACATATATGCCACCGTCTTATGAGGCATTTTCATATATATATGCCCTAAATTAGATTAAGATTTTCATCCTCCAATAATTAAAAATGTCTCATAAGAGAGAGTATTTTTTTATTATAAACTCAGGATGATTCCCTAAATTAGACCAAAACTTTCATCATCCAACAATTACTATAATACTCAGATGCCATTTAATTATAAGGGAAAATAAAATTATTAGGCTTACCAAAGGTTCCGGGGCCACCTTCATAGAAGGTAGCACGAGCGCGTTTCCAAGGGCCGGGCTTAAACGGCGGCCTGTTGTGCTTTTTAACAAGCCGCGCGCCTAATTCCCTGTGCGCTTTCGCGTAAGGGCGATGCCCCATCGAGGCCGCGGCGTGTGCATGGGCCATTATAAGCAACAGCAGGCTCAGCAGAGATGCCAACAGGCATGTCGATGGGAAGGATGGCTTCGTCATTGGCACCTCAACAACAGCCAACAATATTTTTATGGGTATAGCCTCGAGGTTTTCTTTCCTTTTCATTTCTTTTCTTTTATAATGGTTCCAATGAATTCAAATGGTCGTGGTTTCTAAATTTAAGGTGGTTCGTTATATCCTATGTTTGGTTTTTGTTGAATTGTGGTAAGAGGATGGGAATGAATTCAGGAATTAAATAAGGAAAATGTTTTTTTTAGTTGAAATAAAATGTAATAGATGTAATAAAATTCAAGTCCAAAAGCAAATTTGATTTAATCTCTAAATTTTGAGTTTTTTTCCTTTTTTTCTTTTTTCTTTTTTGTTTAGTTGTTCAATTTTCAAAATTATTTCCATTTTTTTTTCTTTTAACTTTACAACTTCTAAAAGTCAAATTCATATATAATATATCAGTTAATTTTTTAAAATTTGAATTTTTTTTAGAGATATGTTTGGATGCAAAATTAAAAAATAAAAAATTTGTTAGACGAAAATTAAAATTTCAGGAATATATTTGACATTTTTTATTTACTCAGATTAAATAAACACAAAGTTTAACTACACTTATAATTTAATTAAAAAATAATAATGAATATAAAATATCATGAATGCAGACAAAACTGTTCAAGCAAGTATCAAGTGAATACAATTTTCATAATAAGCCATATTTTTTAAATAGTGAGATACTTATTTATTAATTTAAATAATTTTTATGAATTTATTATTATTATTTTAAAACAGTAAGCTCGAACAAGTTTTTTTGAAAATTAGAATATCAAACTAAATCTACTTATTAGGCCTCATTTGATTTTTAATTTTTTAAAAATTAAGTTTGTAAGCACTATATTTCTCTGTTTTATTACTTAGTATTTTAAAAACCAAATTAATTTTTCTTAATTTTTTTCTTTTCCTAATTTTACTACAAATTCAAATGTTTAATTATTATAAGAAACATAATTTTTAAACATCAAATTATTATCAAAAGGGGCTTTTTTTTTTTTTTTAGTTTTTAGATTTTTATTTTCCATTTAAAAAATAAACGTATATATCTACTGCCAGTTTTTATTTATTTTTAAGGCTTCAAATTTGATATTTTTGAGTGTATTCGCGGATAATTAGGGTAGTCTGAATTATAATTTTATGACTTAAATAAATTTCAAAAGTCCTTTTTTTAAGTTAAAAATAAAGAAGCCTTTTATTTTAATTTCGTTCATTAATATTATCCAATGTATATAAATTTCAACTCTAAGAAAGTACTCAATTCTAGAATTGATTCTATTTATGTCAGAATAAACAAAAGAAAATTCGATTCTATTTATTTCAAAAAGAAAAAAAAATTATTTATTTATTTATTAAAAATTATATTATCCAATGTATTTATTTATTTAAGAAAATACATATTAAATAAACAATAATGAAATATATCCGAATTCTTCATTTCATATAAATATATAATTACTTGATGAGACTTTGTATTAGACAAATAAAAACCAATTTTATTTGTATATTATATTTAACACGAACATATTATTTTAACATATTAAACAATGAATAATTATTCATTAAAACAAATATTAAAAAAATTGTATAAACATCTACTAAGTGAATGAGGGAGATAAGGTTGTTTTTCAAGGTTTGCTCTAGTAAATGAGATAAAATTAGACGACCTTTACGTTGGTTGGACTAATGACTTCAGAAGTTCATAACTAACTTTCTATTATTTGGATTTTAAAAAATCAACTATTAATAATTAAAATATCAAATATTCATACTTTACAATCTATCATTTATATTTATTGTCAACGTAAATATTTTTTATATTTATTATAATCTTAAAAGTAGAATTGAATTGGGTTGGGTCGTAATTCCATTTTCTAGCTACTCGAGTTGATTTGACCAAAAAAATGTCAAATTACGAACCAATATGATTTTTTTATTTTAAAAATATTCAATACAATCTAACTTTTATGATTTCGATTGAGTAGAATCCAAATTGATTGAAATCTGAGTGTGTATGAGGTTCATATATTATCCTATCTCACTCGCTTTAGTAAAAGTAAAAAGTAGGAGAAAAAGTTAGAATATAAAATAATTAATTAATAAGTGATAGAACACGTTCAAATGTTTGCTATTTGCTGGATTAAAAAGTAAACGGTTCTTAGTTGAAAAGAGGAAAAATAAAGAATCGATTCTGGTTTTTGTTTTTTAATTGAAATAAAAAAGAAAAAAGAAAAACGGGAATCGTGTTCCCGCCAAATTTAAATTGGAGAGGAAATGCGAACGGTCCGTCATTCGCGCTACTTCAGAGCTTGGTGGGCGAAGGGAGAAGTGAAAGAGACCGCGGGACAAAGGAAAGAAGATGGATTTGAGTGTTGTGAAGAAAGAGGTGGACGAAGCCGTGCTGGTTGACGCTCACGCCCCCAACGACGCCAAGCTTGTCCGGATTATTTGGGTCGATGGTTCGGGACAACATCGATGTCGGGTAAGATTTATTTATTTATTTATTATTACACACTTTTCAAATTTGAATTTAATTTTTGAGTTTTAAAATGTTAGATTATGTTATAATTATTCAGGCTGTTCCATTTAAGCGGTTCAATGATGTGACTAAAAGGAATGGGATAGGGCTGCCTTTTGCCGTTATGGCAGCGAGTTCTTGTAACGATTGCCCAGCTGCTGGGAGTAATCTTAGCAGTGTGGGCGAGATGAGTCTGATGCCAGATTTATCAACCAAACGGACGGTTCCTTGGTATGTAGCTTTCAATTCTTCTATCATGTAAAAATTATCTCTGTTCCTTCAAGTAGGGCATTGATTAGTCATACCATGAGAGGAAGGACTCGATATTGACATGTCTTACAATTTACTTGTTTGTACGTGTTGGGTATGCCAAGATTTGTATTTTTACCGACTCAATGTCACTGCTAACCAACTAATTAGTTTAGTTCATTATGCAGATATTTGCATTTTTACAGACCCACGTAACTGAACTCGATCAACATGCATATTTTATATCAGTTGAGTTGAGTTACGAGTGGGAAGCATTTGGTAGTGTAATTGGAATTTTGTATAACTGACTATTTGTCCTTTAGAGTTCAACTTTTAAGTCTTTCGGGCCACGTTCTGTTAGGAACCACGACCCTCTATAATAGTACGATATTGTGTGCATAAGCTTTCGTGGGTTTACTTTTGGTTTCCTCAAAAGGTCTCATATCAATAGAGATACTATTTCTTACTTATAAATCGATAATCTTCCCTTTAATTAGTCAATATGAACTACAACTCCTAATAATCCAAAAGTAGATTGAAACATACCTATTCCATTGATTTCTTGAACAGGAACAAGCAGGAGGAGATGGTTATGGGTGATATGCAGCTTAGACCTGGTGAAGCCTGGGAGTACTGTCCAAGGGAAGCCTTACGAAGGGTGTCTAGAATCTTGAAAGATGAATTTAACCTGGTAGGGAAGATTGTTCAAGTCTTATGATGAACAGATGATCTAGAAAATATTTTTACTGTGTTAAATGGCTGTCTTGAATCCAGGTAATGAAAGCAGGGTTTGAAATTGAGTTCTTACTGTTAAAAAAGGCAGTTAGGTAAGGATATACTATTCTCTTCTCTTCTCTATGGCCTTAATTCATTTCAAATTGCTAATTTCCATTGCTCTATTTAATTTGAGTTTCGTAGAGATGGGAAGGAAGATTGGGTGCCGTTTGATTCAACGCCCTATTGTTCTGCAATTTCATATGATGCTGCCTCTCCTTTTCTTCATGAAGTAGTAGCTTCTTTGAACTCCTTGAATATCACCGTGGAACAGGTATGCCAAAAAGAAAACTTATGAGCTATCGAAACCCTTCCTTATAAGAACGTTAAGATACGTTTTGAAACTGTGAGGCTGACGGTGATACGTAACGGACTAAAGCAGATAATATCTGTCAGCAGTGGATCATATAAGATGAAGCGGTAGAGTTTCAAGCTAATGCACGTTGATAGGGATTTTTGTTGTGTCTTGTAGTTGCATGCAGAGGCTGGGAAAGGTCAATTTGAGGTTGTTTTAGGGTATACTGCTTGTCTCAATGCTGCTGACAACTTAATTTACACGCAAGAAGTGATCAAGGCTACTGCAAGGAAGCATGGATTGTTGGCAACATTTTTGCCCAAGTATGCAATGTTCTAAAATATGATGCGACCTTAAGCTCAATAATGTTCTAAAATAAATAACATCATGGTTTCTTATCATTGCTTAGGTATGCAATGGATGACGTTGGTTCTGGCTCCCACGTGCATGTCAGCTTGTGGCAGAATGATAAAAATGTTTTCATGGCGGCTGAAGGCTCTTCTCAACATGGAATGTCAGCCGTCGGGGAAGAGTTCATGGCAGGCGTTTTACATCATATTCCAGCAATTTTGGCATTTATCTGTCCAATCCCCAACAGGTGAACACCACCTCTTCATATTTTCTATCTATTCTTTATAAATGTGTAGAAATCTCTCTCTAGTAGACGCGTTTTAAAATCTTGAAGGAAAAGTCCAAACAAGACAATATTAGCTAACAGTGGGTTTGAACAGTTACAAATGGTATCAAAGCCAGACACTAAATAATGTGCCACCGAAGATGCTAGCTCCAAGAGAATGGATTGTGAGATCTCACATCAGTTGGAGAGGGAAACGAATCATTCCTTATAGCTGTGTGGAAACCTCTCCCTAGTAGACACATTTTAAAACCTTAAGATGAAGTATTTGGAGGAAAAGCCGAAAGAGGACAATATCCATTACTTCTGACACGTCCCTGCCAATTTGTTTGCTTGTAGTTATGCTCGTTTACAACCCAATACATGGAGTGGAGCTTATCAATGTTGGGGAAAGGATAACAGAGAAGCTCCAATTAGAACGGCTTGTCCTCCTGGAATTCGTGCAGGTTCAGTCAGTAACTTTGAGATCAAATCATTCGACGGTTGCGCAAACCCATACTTGGGTCTAGCCGCTATCCTTTCTGGTGGACTAGATGGCCTTCGGCACCATCTTCAGTTGCCTGAGCCCATTGGTAAATTTCCTGTTTCCAATAGGTTATTATGTTATTGGTAAAGTTTCATGTTGTACCTCATAACTTGAATCATATAATAAACAGCCTTTAATCCTTATGAGAATGCTTCAAAGCTCAAAAGGTTGCCCCAATCGCTTGCTGAGTCTGTAGAGGCTCTGGAAAAGAACAATACCTTGACAGAGCTTATAGGTGAAAAGTTGGTGGTTGCCATAAAGGCAGTTCGCAAGGTATGTATGCCATTTGGATGTGTTTTGTTTCTTTTGATCAGCTCTTCATTTTGATTGATAATCTGTAAAACATTGTGTCATTTGCAGGCAGAGGTGGAATACCACTCAAAGCATCAGGAGGCATACAAGCAACTTATACACAACTATTAAGGACTGACTCACAAACACCTTAAACATTTATAATTATGATATTTTATGAACACTTTATAAAGGTTTTATAATAAGAATTTTATTTTTGTTTTTCCAAAATACCTAATTCCTACTTATAAACCCAATACAATAATAAAATGGTGTCATTGGAATGTTAAAGATTATTTTCCAACCTTTTTTTTAATAAATACTATGGATACGTAGGGAGTTTTGGAGCAACAAATATTTCGCCTCGACTTTAGATGTGCATTCTATTTGATTCACCAGATTTTAGAACCACTTCTAATATTTAAGGTTTGAGATAGAGATGTTAATAGATTATGTTGGGTCGTATTGGAACATTTTTAGACTCGATTTTTCTTACTAAATAATCATTATTAAATGAGCCTGTATAATTGAATAACCCAAGTAGTTTAATCAATTTTTAATAATAATAATAAAGTGTCATCTTTTTATTTATTTTTAAATATTAAATCAAGATTTTGCATATCAATTTTAATATTATTTTGAAATATTATATAGAATTAAATAAAATTAAAATAAATATATGTATATATTACTGCATAAACTTTTCATTTAATTCAACCCAACTTAAATAAATTATTAGATTGTAATCAATGCTTTACATATATTTAGTTCACGTGCATTCCAAGTCTGTTTTTTTAATTATAGAATAACGTGCCATTCTTATGCAATTATTATTATTTTGTTTATTTTTAGTCATTTATATTTAATGCTCATAAATTCTCCCAATTTCCTTACCCTAAAAAATCGGAAAGATTCCTTTTCTTTTTAAAGAGGAAAGAGAACAAAAAGACAACATATTTCACGTGTTCAACTGGATATGATGACTAAAACGTAATAAATAGTTAAATTAACACTAAAAAAACGTTTTTATATTATTTTATTAGGATTAATTTTTTATCCATAAAAAAAATCACCTGCTTTTTAGAAAATAATTTGTCTCATTAGTAATTTTGGCAGCAATTTTCTTAATTTGTTTTGAAAAAGAAACAGATGTTTGTGTAATATTTTAGCGTACAAAATAACGTTATCTTTTTAGACATTAAATTGGACATATTTTTTTAGTTATTTAAAATTGCGACCGTTTGATTAAATTATAGATTCTAAAGAAAATTTTTTTTTCTTTTAATATGTACGAGAATTTCATCGGTTAATATTCTATGAATTTCAACGACAAGATTCAACCCGGCAATGAACGACAAGATCCATTAATGACTCCACCGTTCGCGGTTGGAGGCATTGACTGGTGATTTACTTCGGGATTTTGTAGATAGAAAAGAGTTCGTCGGCAAACGTTAAGTCGTTGACCGACGGTGAAGAGCTCTGACTCCGGGAATGATGGATTTCACTGTTCTGAAGAAAGCAGTCGATGAAGCTGTGCTGGTTGACGCTCACGCCCACAATCTGGTAGCCGCCGATTCCACTGTCCCTTTCATCAGATGTTTCTCCGAAGCTCACGGCGACGCATCGGCTTTTGCTCCTCATTCCGTCTCCTTCAAGGTATCTGTTATCCACCGCCTCAGCTTTGTTTTTTTTACTGCCACGTTCTTCCTTTGCCGCTTCACTGAACTGAGATTCGAGCCTGATTGTAACACGGACCGATTTGTTTTATGTTATTGCTGTTGAGGATTATTGGGATTGGGATTTGTTTTATGTTATTGTTGTTGAGGATTATTGGGATTGGGAGTGTCTCACATTGGTTTGGTTAATTTAGTGGAAGATCATGGGTTTATAAGTGAGGAATACTATCTCCATTGGTATGAGGCCTTTTGGGGAAGCCCAAAGCAAAGCCATGAGAGCTTATGCTCAAAGTGGACAATATCATACCATTGTGGAGAGTCGTGATTCCTAACAATTGCTTATGAAGTAAAAGGAGGATGATAATAGTCCCACGTCCACGAATGATTATGGGTTTATAATCAAATAATACTATCTCTATTGATACTTATGCTCTCCCACCGTGGAGAGTCGTGTTAAATCATTGATTGAGATCTTTATTTCTGATCGTTTCGTGATTTGTATAATGCAGAGGAGTTTGAGGGATATCATTGAACTTTATGATTGTAAACCATCCTTGCTTGGGGTCGAGGATTACCGCAAATCCTCGGGACTAGATTCAATTTGTTCAACATGTTTCAAAGCTGCAAGAATATCTGCGATACTCATTGATGATGGGTTCGAGTTGGACAAAAAGCATAACATAGATTGGCACAAAAAATTTGTTCCCATTGTTGGTAGAATATTGAGAATCGAACGTTTAGCAGAGAATATTCTTGATGAAGTGAGGTTTATCTGATTTCTCGTTTTGAATATGCTTTGAACTTTATTTTTCCCTTATTGATTTATGCTTTTAAATAGGAGTTTCAAGGTGGATCTTCATGGACACTGGATGCATTCACAGAAGCATTTATTCAGAAGTTGAAATCATATCCTTTGTTTGTTTTATGATTTTATATGTTACTATTGGTGTACAATGCTCTCCTCTCTTGTGTATTTCTTATAAGCTGTAGTACATTGGCTCATGACATATATGGACTGAAAAGTATAGCCGCGTATCGTAGTGGTCTACGAATCAATGTGAATGTCTCGAGGAAAGATGCCGAGGATGGTCTCGTTGACGTTTTACAAGGTTAATAAAATTTAAAGAAGGTTTTGTTTGAATTCTCTATTTCTGTGAATAATATACTAATGAATGTATGAATCCAGGTGGGAAACCTGTTCGAATAGCGAACAAAAGCCTCATCGACTATATTTTCGTACGTAGTTTGGAAGTTGCTCAACAGTTCAACCTGCCTATGCAGATACATACTGGGTAAGATAAATTACCAGCATTTGTTTGATCTTCATTGTGCTATGACTTAAACGGAAAGCTTATAAGCTATGATATTACTGGAGATTGCTCTTTCCTAAGGGCTTTAGGCTGTTTTGGGTTTGTTTGTTTTGATCCATATCTCTGTTTATTTTTGAGAAGAAGCATAAACTCTTCATTGATATTTGAAAAGTTACTTTGAAACCAAAATTTTAAACAGATACTAAGAGAAGCACGAGATATCAAACTTGCTACGAAGCAACGCAAAGGTCTTGATTGAATAAATTTAAAAAGTTTCGGTAAGATCGTGTCAAGAAGCCACACGAAGCTTTAATCCCAAGAAAAACTTGCTTGTTCCTTTCATACCATATACCCAAAGGCCCAAATAGTAAACTGAATAGTGCTGATCCAAAGAATTCTTGCTTTTCCTCTAAACCCATTGCTGCTGTAAAAGACTCAAGTTATTACTTTTAGCCTTGAAATCGTGAACTCATACGCGTCTTGAGTAGCTCAATGGAAGCCACTAAGCACTGGCTATACGAACATTGGGAAAATACATGATAAATAGTACTTTATTTTCAGTCGTACGTTGCTTATAATTATGTTCGTGATTTTGTACCTATAGATTAGGAGACAAAGATCTAGATTTGCAGCTGGCCAATCCCCTCCATCTTCGATCTGTTCTGGAGGATAAGAGATTTTCCAAGTGTTGCTTAGTTTTGTTACATGCATCCTACCCGTTCTCAAAGGAAGCGTCATTTCTCGCTTCTGTTTATCCTCAGGTTAAAATATTCATCATTCAATCCATTATGTCTTTAATCTTGATTAAGCAGTAGCTTTTCTTCTTAATTTTATGCTTTTAATCTCTCAGGTCTACCTTGACTTTGGATTGACAATTCCCAAGCTTAGTGTTCATGGGATGATATCTGCACTCAAAGAACTGTTAGAGCTTGCTCCAATTAAAAAGGTGAAGGGAGTGCTGTGCTAACTGTTAAGATTTTTAATAAGCTGTTTCCTGAAACATGTTTTATGTAAAGCAACTTTCTTGGATAAATATGGAAGCTATAGTTTATGGTATGCCTTTTATTTATCATTTTTGTATGCTCGAGTTCATGAGTTCGTGCTGTTTGGCTAATAGTTCGACAACCAAATTGCAGGTGATGTTCAGCACGGATGGATCTGCCTTTCCTGAAACCTTCTATTTAGGTGCGTACAATATGAATATGTATTAAAGGTATCTCAAATGGCTGCTGAATACTTCCATTCTCTGCACTTATTATTAGTTCACATTTCGAACGGATTTTCCTTGTTTTGTAGGTGCAAAGAAATCAAGGGACGTCGTCTTATCTGTTCTACAGGATGCTTGTATTGATGGTGATCTCTCAATTTCTGAGGCTGTTGAAGCTGTGAATGATATGTTTTCACAAAATGCCATGAAATTGTACAAGATTAACCTGATTACAGTGAGTTCCATACCAAATAATTCAACATTTTCTATTCCTTTGATGAAGACCAACGTCGTGCAAGAAGATGCCAAGCTTGTTCGAATTATTTGGGTTGATGCTTCAGGACAACGGAGATGCCGTGTGAGATCTCTTTCCATATATGTGTGCGTGCGTGTTATTTCCTTTTTGGGGAACACAGAAGTTAATGATGTTCTAATCACTTCAGGCTGTTCCCTTTAAGCGGTTCAATGATGTCGTTACAAAGAATGGGGTTGGTTTAGCTTGTGCCGCTATGGCAATGTGCTCTTATGCTGATTGTCCAGCTGATGGGAGTAATCTTACTGGTGTGGGTGAGATCAGACTGCTGCCAGATTTATCAACCAAATGGACAGTTCCTTGGTATGAAGCTTGCTGAATGTTTTCGTTATCGTTTTTTTTGTGTCACGATTTTAGCTTTCAATTCTTCTACCTATATATATACTAACCTTTTGGGCATACTGACTACATGTGTGGCTGCTAAGCTACTGATTAGAGTCTAGTTCATAGCATGTTTATCTGATAATATGTAAAGATCAAGAACACAACCAATACGCTTTTTAATTGATATCACTTATGGTTCAACCTTTTCCATTGATTTCTTCAACAGGAACAAGCAGGAGGAGATGGTTTTGGGTGACATGTATCTTAGACCCGGTGAAGCCTGGGAATACTGTCCGAGGGAAGCCTTGCGTAGGGTCTGTAGAATTCTGAAAGACGAATTCGACCTGGTACGAAAGATTGTTCAAGACGTTTGAATTGATGATCTAGAAAATAT